AGGGAGTTAAATGGACACCCCTGGACTGGAGGGAAATCTATTGTATTAGTGTGATAGGAGTTCTGGGACTGGGTACACAGCAGAGGTGTAAATTCGGCAAGGGATCTGAGATCCCCTGTCTTCCTCCCCCTGCCATGTCAAAATGTGCTCCTGCTGTTTGTGGAGCCAGAAGCAGCTACAATGATCAATGCTATGATCCAGATCATCAGATAAAAACAGGGGGAAGAGACACTGCATTCCCCACTTCCTGCGTGTAGAAAATAGCCTTACCAGAGGCACAGGGAGGATGGAGAATTTGATTAAGCAGAAAAACTGTTCAAAAAATGAACTGTGGGAGACAGGTTTGACTGAATATTTCTCCTCAGATACAGTGCAAAGAGGTGAAAATTAGACACACTCAACAGGTATCATCGGCCATAACAAAAACAACTACCAGAAGCAGTGAGGCCCCCCAAAAAATGTATTTCTAGCCTTTGTCCTATCCAAGTCTAAACAAGCCATCTTCTAGCTGGCTTTTTATGATTCCGGTAAAACCATATTCCATAGTTGAAGAATTTTTATTTCAAATTATTTTAATTGATTTGACTAGGATTATAAATTCTCATGTAAAGTCAAACATAGAGGACGGCACCTACATTGTAACTCTAGGGAGGCCAGGGCAGGAGGAACTCCATTGAGATGACAAAGTGAAAAACCCTTTTGGAAAAATGAGACAAAGCCATCATGAAGGAAGACAACTGTACACTATGCTATTTCTGAGAATTACCTTTTAAGTTGAAGAAATTTTTGGGGTTGCGTTTACCAGATATTGGAAAAATATTTTCCTCTGTCTTTTTTTTTTTTTTTTTTGCAATGGAGCTATGATTTTTTCGCAGTTCACTTTACTGTTTTTTAGCACATGGTTCTTAGAATTTTGAAAACTGGCCACTACTGTACAACTACAAGCACTTCTTTAACGCTTAGCCCTGCCAGCAGCTCACTTGTTTTCTGTCCCTACAGTTTTATATTTTCAGGAATGTCATATTAACAGAGTATAGAATATGTGCCATTTATGAGTCTCATTTTTTGTTCTTAGAAAATGCATTTGAATGGAGTCCATGCATTTGCAGAAATTTATCATTTTACTTTGTGCAGCTATGAAGTAGTGTATTACCTACATACATAATCATACACATACCAAATTTCATCTCTCTGCTATTTAAAGGATACTTCATTGTTTTCTGTCTTTGGATATTGTGCATAAACCTAGAACAAGTATTTACACAGGCTACATGTGTCAGTACATGCTTTTACAATATTTTAATTTTCCTTGTAATGATGTGCGGATTGAACTGTGCACTTGTGCACATGAGTGTAGTGCCTGTGCAGTTCAGAAAAGGACATTAGGTTATCTGGCACTGGAGTAACAAGCAGTTGTCAAACAGTTGCTGTACCTGGGTGCTGTGAACTGAACTCAGTTCTCTGTAAGAGCAGTGTGTACTGCTGAACCATCTTTCCAGCCTCTCAAGAACAGCTTTTATTTCTTTTGAGTAAATAACCAAGATGGAAATGCTGGGTCGTATGGTAGATGTGTTTAACTTGAGAAGAAACCACCAATTCTTTTTGAAACTGGCTGTACTATTTAGCATTTCCATAAGCAACATGATTCTCAATGTGCTATTTAAAATTGCTATGCTAATTGGTATTTTGTGTTATTTTATGTTGCTTTTAGGTTGCATTTGCTTCATGAATAATCATATAAAATTCATGAGATTTTTACACATTTCTCTGTCATTTGTAGTACTGGGATTGAACCTAGGACCTTAAGCAAGTGCTCTGCCATTATGCCCCCAAGCAGACATTTCTTTTTAAATACTGGGAATTATTTCCCACTGCCACATGCATGCCAAATTTTATCACTGAGCTACATCTTTAGTCTGCTTTTGTTATAGAGTATTATTTTAAGATGTGTTACATTTATTAATGCTGTGGAACATTTGTTTAATGATGCAAAGATATGTTGCTTTCTTTATGTTGCATTTGTTTAACTCTGTGAAGCTGTGTCACTTTGTCTAAAACTCCTGATTGGTCGAATAAGGAGCTGAATGGCCAATAGCAAGGAAAAGGGGAAAGGATAAGTGGGGCTAGCAGGCAGAGAAGAAATGGGAGGAGAAATCTGAGGACAAGAAGATAGAGAGGCAGGATAGGGGGAGGACTCCAGGGAAAAGCCATCCAGCTACCCAGGAAGCCATGAACTAAGAAGAAAAGAAAGGTATACATACAGAAATAGAGAAAGATAAAAGCACATAGGCAAAAGTTAGATGGGGTAATTTAAGTAAAGCTGTCTAGAAACAAGCCAAACTAAGGCTGAGCATTTATAAGAAAGAATAAATCTCTGTGTGTATTTATTTGGGATATGGGTGGCAAGTTCTCCAAAGAAGCAAAGAGTACAAACAGCCAACTACACACTTTTTTAACTTTTTATTTTGAGACAAGATCTTGCTACCTTGCACAGGTCAGCTTTGAACTTGTAATACCCCAGTGTCAACATCTACAGTAGCTAGAATTGTATAACTACACTACAAGACCCAGATATATTTATGTATCACTTTTGGTAAACAGCAATAAATGTTTTACTCATTTTATATTTATGTTATTATTCTGGATATATTTCCTTTGTTACATATGCATTTTGCAAATATTTTACTGTATGTAGCTTGTCTTTTCATTTCTATACTTAATCTTAGCTAAAAGGCTCAGGAGAGGTGTCTTTTCACTTCTCAGTGTAGCTTGTTAATTCTGACGATATCTAGTTTATTCTTCATAGATTGTGGTTTGTGTATCTTCCCTAAAAACATGCATGCTTAGCACAGGGGAGAAAAGTGTCTTTTTTGAGGTTATCTTCAGAAAGTTTTCCATTTTTTTTCTTTGTTGAAGTCTGTCTTGCATTTTCCTTTCCCTTTGGTATGTGGCTTGTTGTACTGACCTAACAAATGCAGAGGTTATGCTGAAAGATGGGCAAAGAGAGGAAAGAAAACCCTTTTAAAGGTTAGGGAGAGGAAGACAGACTGAAGTGAAAATATCCTGTGTGTTTCATTTTACTGGCATTTTGATGGAAGCAACACTCTATCTTACTCAAGTAAGCAGTAAAGGAGTATCTGTCAGAGGAAAGAAAATAGCAAGTAGAAATGCAAAATAATGAATATAAAGCAAGATAGGAACACAAAACAAAAGATACTAGACTTCATGTTATATTTGAGTGGATGGATATTTTCCATTAGAATATAGAACAGTTCCCAGAAGATGCAGAAGATGTCCCATCAGAGTTGTTTATTCACTACCACGAGTTGTATTTCTCCTTGAATTCCAATGAACCTTGACTTATTTGTTCTATATCCGAAGACTATATACAAGTGTGGCAGATAGCAGAGACATTTATAATGATGAAGACCCTAAAGGAAGTGTGGATCCAGAAGTAAAAGGATCCTAGTTATGTCTGCACTTGTGATTTTAGATCCCTTTTGATTTCCTCTCAAACTGAAATGGATTTCTCCCTGATTTGAGACACATACTTGGTTTAGTTAGCTATCTCACTACAATAGATGCCACCAATAATGTCATAGCCTACACAGTAGATGTTTTCTAAATTTTAATTGATGATACTTAATTCTATGAAGATACAAACTTTTATTTATATTTTCTGTTGGAAATGTCTAGTGACAAACCCAGGTCTAAGGTAGCTTTTGAAATGAACGGTATTATGTGTGATTACTTTTCTTCTTAAGCTATATCCCTACGTTTTTCAGACTCTCAAGTAAAGGCCAGAGTGAATAAAGAATCCAACCAAGTGAGAGAGGTGTCTGAGCTATGAAGAGGAAATATTGCAAGATATCATTTTCATTCAAGGATTAGATGAGATTCAAGTTACACAGATTCCTACTTAAAGACCCTCTCACTTGACTTTCCAGGATGCACATTGTGAAGCAGCCTCCTCTTGATTTCATCAATTAAGACTACACGTTCCCCTTGATCTCCTTTTGTTATCTTAATTGCTCTATCAAGAACTTCAAGTACAATATTAAACAGATATGGAGAGAGTGGACAGCCTTGTCTTGTTCCTGATTTTAGAGGAGTCACCCTGACTCCTCTAGTATTATGTTGGCTGTTGGCTTGCTGTATATTGCTTTTATTATGTTTAGGTATGTTCCTGTTATCCCTGATCTCTCCAAGATCTTTATCATGTAGGAATTTTGGAAGAGGAGTGGAACAAGATGAATGGATGGGGATGGTGTGAGGGGAGAGACTGGGAGGAAAGGAGGCAAAACTGGGGTCAAGATGTAAAAGCAAGCAAGCAAGTAAATAAATAAATGAAATACACAGATAAAAACCTTGGAGTTTTCATCATACAGGTCTTTTTCTTGCTTGGAGTTACCCCAAGGTATATTATGTGTGGCTATTGTGAAGGGTGTTGTTTCACTGAGTTTTTTCTTAATCTGTTTGTCATTTGTATATAGGAAGACTACTTTTTTTTTGTATTTATCATGTATCCAGTCACTTTGCTGAAGTCATTTATCAGCTATAGGCATTCCCTGGTAGAATTTTTGGGGTCACTTATGTAGTATTAATATCATCTGCAAATAGCAATACTTTGACATCTTCCAAATTGTATCACCTTGATCTCCTTTAAGTAGTCTTATTGTTCTTGCTAGAACTTTGAGTACAATATTGAGCAGATATGGAGAGAGTGGACAGCCTTGTCTTGTTCCTGATGTTGGTCGAGTTGCTTTGAGTTTCTCTCCACTTAATTTGATGTTGACTATAGGCTTGCTGTAAATTGCCTTTATTATGTTTAGGTATGTTCCTGATCTCTATAAGACTTTTATCATGAAGGAGTGTTGGATTTTTGTTGAAGGCTTTTTCAACATCTAATGAGATGATCATGTCATGTTTTTTTTTTCAGTTTGTTTATATGGTGGATTATGTTGACAGATTTTTATATGTTGAACCATCCTGGCATCTCTGGAATGAAGCCTACTTGATCTTGGTGGATGATTTTTCTGATGTGCTCTTGGATTTAGTTTGTGAGTATTTTATTGGATGCTTCTGCCTCAATATTCATGACAGAAATTGGTCTGTAATTCTCTTTCTCTGTTGAATCTGTGTGTGGTTTGGGTATCAGAGTAACTGTGGCCTCATAAAATGAATTTGATAATGTTCCTTCTGTTCCTATTTTGTGGAATAATTTGAGGCATATTGGTATTAGCTCTTCTTTGAAAGTCTGGTAGAAGTATGTGCTACAAACCATTCGGCCCCGGGGCCTTTTTGGTTGGGAGAATGTTAATGATTGCTTCTATTTCCTTGGGGGTTATAGGTCTATTGAAATTATTTATATGATCTTGATTTAACTTGCAATAAGTGGTATCTATCAAGAAAATTGTCAAGAAGGGCAAAGGGACAGGATCTCCTCAGCTAATTGGGAGCATGGGGGAGGGGAAAAGGGAGTTAGGAGAAAGAGAAGGGGAGAAGAGGAGGGGACAGGAGGGCATAAGAGAACAGGAAGATAGAGTCAGGGGAAGAATAGAGGAGAGCAAGGAAAGAGATACCATAATAGAGAGAACCATTATAGGTTTAAAGAGAAATCTGGTACTAGGGAAATATCCAGGGGCTACAAGATTGATCCCAACTAACAATTTAAGCAATAGTGGAGAGGCTACCTTAAATGCCCTTCTCTGATAATGAGATTGATAACTACCTTATATGCCATCCTAGAGCCTTCATCCAGTAGCTGATGGAAGCAGAAGCAGACACCCACAGCTAAACACTGAGCAGAACTCCTGGAATCCACAGAGGGAGGAGTGATGAGCAAAGGGGTCAATACCAGGCTAGAGAAACCCACAGAAACAGCTGACCTGAACAAGGGGGGAGGGCTCATGGACCCCAGATGGATAGCTGGGAAACCAGCATAGGACTGTTCCAGATCCTCTGAACAAGGATGTCAGTTTGGAGGTCTGGTTAATCTATGGGGACTCTGGTAGTGGATCAGTATTTTTCCCTAGTATACAAATGGACTTTGGGAGTCTACTCCACATAGAGGGATACTCTCTCAGCCTAGACACACAGGGGAGGGTCTAGGCCTTGTTACAAATGACAGACTTTGACGATCCCCCATGAAAGACCTTACCCTCCCAGGTGAGCAGAAAGGGGATAGGATAGGCCGTGGTTGGGGTCAGAGGAGGAGGGGAGGGAGAGGGAACTGGGATTGACATGTAAAACAAGCTTGATCCTAATTTAAATTTTAAAAAGGGGGAAATAATGAATAAATTATACATTATCAAAATAAAAATGGTTCTAGAAATGATATCTAAAACATAAAGTCAAGTTTCAGATGGGTAGAAAATATTCAGAATATATGTAATTGACAAACTACTTTTCACCTCAATGCAAACAAGTTAATAATATAACTTTGGAATGACAACACAAAGAAGATGTAAGAAAATTGTCCATTTCTTTTATAATTTCCAATTCTGTGGAGTACAGTTTTTTAGGTATGACCTAATGATTGACTAGATTTCCTAAGTGTCTACTGTTATTTCCCTTTTCATTTCTGATTTTGTTAATTTGGATATTGTATGTCTGCCTTTCAGTTAGTTTGGATAAGGGTTTGTTTACCTTATTGATATTCTCAATGAACCAACCCTTTGTTTCAATGATTCTTTGTATTCTTCTCTTTTTTCTGTTTCTTTTTTTAATTATAGCCCTCAGTTTGATTATTTACTACCTACTACTCCTCTTGGATGTGTTTGCTTCTTTTTGTTCTAGAGTATTTCAGGTGTGTTTTAAAGTTGCTAATATGAGATTTCTCCAATTTCTTTATGAAGTCATATAATGCAATAATTTTTCCTCTTAGCACTGCTTTCATTTTGCTCTGTAAGTTTGGGTATATTTTCCATTCATTTTCACCGAATTATAAGAAGTCTTTAATTTTTTTCATTATATCAGTATTGACCCAGCAGTCATTCAGTTTTACTTGCTCAGTTTCCATGAGTTTGTAGGCTTTCTGTTATTTCTGTTGTTGAAATGTAGCTTTAATCCATGGTGTGATAAGTTACAAGGGGTTATTTCAATTTTCTTGTATATGTTGAGACTTGTTTTGTGACTGACTATATAGTCAATTTTGGAGAATGTTTCATAAGGTGCTGAGAAGGTACATTCTTTTGTGTTTGGGTGAAATGTTCTTAGATATCTTTTAGGTCCATTTTAGTCATAATGTGTGTTAGCTCCATTATTTCTCTTCTAAGTTTCTGTCTGGATGACCTGTCCATTGGTGAGAGTGTGGTGTTGAAGTCTCCCATTATTAATATGTGAAGATCAATATGTTATTTAAGTTTTAGTAATGTTTCTTTTACAAATGTGGGTGCCCATGTGTCTGGAGCATAGATGTTAAGAACTGAAATTTCATCTTGGTGGATTTCTTCCTTTGATGAGTATGAAATGTCCTTCTCCAATTCTTTTGATTAATTTTGGTTGGAAGTCTATTTTGTTAGACATCAGAATAGCTATACTACCTTGCTTCTTGGGTCCATTTGCTTGGAAAATCTTTACTCTGAGGTAATGTCTATCATTGATGTTGATGTGTGCTTTTTGTATGCAACAGAAGGATGGGTCCTGTTTTTGTATCCATTCTGTTAGCGTGTCCTTTTATTGGCAAATTGAGTTGGTTGATATGTTGATATTGAGAGGTGTTAATGACCAATAATTGTTACTTCATGTTATTTTGTTATTGTTGGTGGTGGTAATGATAGTGTGTGTGTGTGTGTGTGTGTGTGTGTGTGTGTGTGTGTGTGTGTGTGTGTGTGTGCTTCCCTTTTTGTGTTTTGATGGTGTTAGATTATTTATATTGCCTGTATTTTCATGGGGGGGGGTATTCAGTCTTCCTGGATTGGAGTTTTTCTTCTAGTACCTTCTGTAGGCCTGGATTTATGGATAGATTTCATTTAAATTTGACTTTATCAAGGAATATCTTGTTTTCTCCATCTATAATGATTGAAAGTTTTGCTTGTTTTGGTAGTCTGGGCTGGCATCCATGGTGTTTTAGTGTTTGTCTCTTAGAGTCTGCAAGATATCTGTCCAGGACCTTCTGGCTTTTAGAGTCTCCATTGAGAAGCCAGGTGTGATTCTAATAGGTCTGCCTTTACATAATCACTCTAAACCCAGATGCCTAAACAACAGTGTAGGAATACAAGAACAGCCAGGGCAACATGGCCTTTCTTGCAGGAGGGAGTCTCTGCCTGAGTTGGGGGGAGTGGGATATGGTGATGAGGATGAGGAGGGGGATGGGGTTTGGGGACAATGAGTGAGTGGATATGGTCCTCTGATAGGCTGCTTATCTGTGGTTCTGGTGGCAGGTGTGGTCTCTGTTCCAGTAGGGAGTCTCTGCCTGAGTTTGCCTATCTATCTTTCTAGCTTGCTTGGAGTGGTGAAATTTTGTTTATGATCTAACAAATAAAGCTTGCCAGAAGATCAGAGTGCAAAACTAGCCACACTAGTTAGCCATAGAGGCCAGACAGTGGTGGTACACACCTTTAATCTCAATACTCAGGATACAGAGGCAGATGGATCTCTGTGAGTTCAAGGCTAGCCTGGTCTACATGAGAGTGAATCATTCTAAAAGAGAAACAGCTCATACCTTTGATCTCAACACTAGGGGGGAATATAAGCAGGAGGGGACAGATGTGGTCAGATTCAACTGAGGATTAGTGGAGACAGGATCACCCATTTTGGTCTGTATAGAGGAGGGAGCTAGTGGCTTGGCTGCTGCTTTGCTTTTCTAATCTTCAGTCTTAACCCCAATATTATTCATGGTATATCCTGACCTGTACCTGTTCTTCAAACTGTTATGGCCTGCACTAGTTCTTCTGATTGGCATGACCTTCTCCTATTCAGCAGAGTTGGGGCTTGGGGCCAGCAGCAGGAGGGAACAGTGGTGGGGAAGGATAGGGGACAGTGGAATGGGTCTTTGGGATAATCTGGGGAGTGGGGTAGTTCAGGTGGCAGGCATATCACTTACCTGATCATTGTCTGCATCTGAGCAGTGGAAGTCAACAGGAGTTGGGGACAGGGGCCCAGCAGTGGGGTAGGTGATGAGGTGGGGGTGGATGGGATGGACTTTGGGAACTGAATCTAGGGAATAGGGAACTTCACTGGCAGGTAGGTAACTCACCTGGTTGCTGTGGCCTGCATCCAAGCAGTGGAAGTCAGTTGGTTTTAGGGGCAGGGACCTGGCAATGGGGCAGCTGGTGGGGTGGGAGGTGGAATAGTCTTTTGGGAACCAAATATAGGGAGTGGTGCAGTTCAGCTGGCAGACAGGTCACTCACCTGTTCTTCTTAAGAAGACTTCATTTTTAAATGAATTTTTGAACGTCCTAGAAAAGCTTTCAAATATTGAAATTTGTCTTGGAAAAACTGATAAAGTTAGCATGTTCTGCTATATTACTATCTCATATGATTGTTCTCTGGCATACTCATGCAGTATCTTTTTAATTAGTCAGGATTCCTGGCTTTGAGTGACAGAAATACATCTCAAATATGCTTTAGCAGACTAGATTATCTATTAGCTCATACAACCTTGGGTGGCCAAGAGTGACCCAAGTCCCAAACTTTAAATTAATCTCATTCAGTTCTGATTTTGCTTTCCACCTCCACTTCTTTAGAGCTGGCTGGGGTCAAGCAAGCCTCTGGCACATGGTTTTCACTAGCTGCCTGGGTGCTTACAGGTTCAGAAGAGATCTTACCTGTCTGCCTATGAATTCCTGAGAAAGACTTGACTCTGGCTTCATTTGTTCAATCCAAATCATTGACCAACTGTAGTGAAGTGTATACTCCTAACAGAGGGGACACAGAACAGTGGCATGGTGGCTTGTCTCTTCTCTGGGACACTAGAAATTTCCAAAAGAAAATATGGAGTCAACTAAACTAACAGAAACTTGGAAGACTTTACCTTTGACTTCACTGTTCTACAGGTCTCAGGGGAGTAACTTATGCGGATCTGTTTTTGTCTAGTATATTGAGCACTTACTGGCCCCTTTTGAGTTGGAAACCTATCCTTCCTTTCTGGCCTTTTGTCCTATATTTCCTTACTGAAGGCAAGGATTCTACATTGTAAATTGCATTGTCAGTGTTTTCTACTATGGGTTTGAAATTCAGCTCTCTTTCTAAGTTTCCACGGAAATGTTTTCTAGCTTCCAAGATTGCATGGCTGTTTTTCCCCTTACAGTTATTTTTTTATGAAGGTTTGCATATTAAAAATTTTTATTGTTGTTTTACTGGAGTTTTAGGAGGAAGTAAAAGCAAATGTGGGCGTTTGATTCATCATCATTAATGAAAAGTCCCACACATTTATATTTTTAAGTAAGTTCATTCTATACCGACTGTTCTATAATCTGCTTTTATCATCAAACTCTGGTGAATATTTATATTTTTTCTTGTCAATAAATAGAAGTCTACACAAGCAGTTCTTAAGCTTGGCTGCATAGTAGAATCAGTAGGTGGTAGGGGTGGGGAGAGCTTTAAAAAGTCCTGATGTCTGAGTCCCACCTCCAGAAGTCCTAATTTAAAAGATTTGAGGTGTAACTGGCACTATAAACTGAAACGTCTTAGGTGACTAAGAAATACAGCTATGATCTACCCTGTTGTTCATCATAATGATCCAATAGCCCTTGGCTAATTTGCACTGCACTTCATTTAAAGCAACCCCTTTCTGAATCCATATTACCTCCTATTATTTGGTATAAGAAAAATTCTCTTATGAACATCTTTGGATATAAAACATTGTCTGCATTTTTTAATTACTTTATTGGCTATATTCCTAGAAGTAGAATCAGTGTGTTTAAGTACATGAATATTTATAAGACTTTTGGGTACAATTGACTATCTTTCTCTCTAAAGTGGTTTGAACAATTTAGATCACCCCTCCTCCAGTGCATGTAAAAATCTGTTTTCTTCATATTCAGAAATACCATGGACCACCATCAACAACATGCATCAAAAGTTTAAATTGTAGCAAGCTTAAATTTCTAAAAATGAATGGAGTGCTCCCCCCAGGTTGAATGTGGTAAAAATATATATAGCAAAAATGAACTGTCTTTGCCATTTTAACTGTACAGTTCAGGGGCATCAGGGACATTCACACTGTTATACAACCATCATCATCCTAAATTTCCAAAAGTCTTTCTTCTTTTCCATCTGAAATTCTGTACCTATTAAACAATGGCTCCCTATTCATCTCTAGCTGTTGTGGAGTATGACTTTAACTAGGCAAAGATATGTTACAGTCGTTTCTGCTGTGAAATATTGCTTTAACTGTGTAAAGGTGTGTTACATTTGCTTATGCTGCATTTGTTTACTGGTGTAAGGATACATGTTTAATTATGTAAAGATGTGTTTCATTTGTTTGTGCTACATTTTTTTAATTATGTAACTATATTTTGCATTTGTTTCACTTTGCCTGCCTAAGGCATCTGTTTGGTCTAATAAAAAGCTGAATGGCCAATAACTAGGCAGAGAGAGGGATAGGTGGGCCTGACAGGCAGAGGGAATGAATGAGAGGAGAAATCTAGGCTCAAGATAGAAGAAAAGAAGGAGGAAAGACCAAGGGAGAAAGAGAGTGACACACCTGGTGTAAGAAGCCAGGCAGCCACCAGTCATGAGCCTGACATGAGAAGCAGTAAGACATACAGAATGAAAAAAAGTAAAAATCACTGATGCAAAGGTAGATAAAGAGACACAGGTTAAGTTAAAAGAGCTAACCAGAAATTAGCCTAGGCTAGATGGAGCATAGAAAACTAATAATAATTCTCCAAATCATGGTTTGGGAGCTGGTTGGTAGCCTAAAAGAAAAAGTCTGCAAAATCTACCCACCAGTCTCTAGCTACCATTATTCTTTCTCTATAATCTGCAACATGGTAGGGAGACTATGAAAGTGAAATCAAGCGTGATTAGATCCTTTTTGCCTGGATTCTTTCACTTTGAATGCTTTTAAGCTTGATATTTTGTTGTCAGTGATATTTTGTTGTCATACATAAGGTTAAAATCAATGAGTAGAGATCTTCATTATTGCATAGGAGGGGATTAGTAGAACATTTGGCTTATGGGACTATAGAGGTTTGTGAGTGTTATGATCTGCCATCTACAAGCTGGAAGCTCAGGAAAAGCCAATGTTGTAATTGAGCCAAGGTCCTACAGCTGGAGAAGCAGATACTTTTTCCTTCTGTTTGGTTTAGAGCCTTCAAAGTTGAATGTCCCCACTTGCATTGGTGAAAGCAATCCTTTTATTTAGTCTGTTGACTTCAGTGCTACTCTTTCCCTGAACAAACCTTTCCAGAAACATCCAGAAGTAACTTTTATCAGGTATTTGGTACAATCAGGTTGCTACAAAGAATTCAGCATCACAGAAATAAAATAATATTTTTTTCTTATTTTTGTGTGTTGATTGCTTAGTCATAGGAGAAGGATTGACATGAAATGGTCGTTGTTGTAAAGTATAAGAAACCCCAAAAATTATATTTTCTTCACAAAAACGAGTATCTTGATGTAAAAGTTGCTGGTATTGGTCTTGTGACTCAAAGCTAATTATCCTAGCTTTAATCACCCTTTCTTTGTCCAAAGCAGGAAGAAGGGAGCAAATAAGAAATGTGCTATCTGTTTAATCAACAAAACAAAGTTTCCTAGAAGTTCTCCTCCCCCATCACACTGTACCACATAAGTATATACTATTGGGATGTGTTTAGAAAAGTTAAAAGAGGAGCTGGAGACATTGTTCAGTGAGGAAAGGCACTTGCCACCAATCTTTATGATATGAATTTGTTCTCAGGATCCCCACATTGTGGAAGGAAGGAGAAGACACTGTCTTCTGAACTCCAAACATGTCCCGTGGCATATATGGGCTTCCTCCACCTCCAAAAGAAATGATTGATCGAATGAATAAATAAATACAAAAGAAAGTTAAAAGTTAAATAAATATAGAATTAAAGAAGATGTCACTGTTCACTGCCTTGATTTCATCATCACCTCTTTATAGGTAAGACATTTTCTTTCAGTGTTTTGCTTAATATAACACTTGTATATAGTGTGATGAGTAAAACTGTTCATAAATCTGTACAATTATAACATAATGGAAACTCTCCATTTTTCAGTGGAAACTTGTTACACTTACCTCTGTATAATTATCTCAGTGACATGTAAAAAAGTTCATACTGCCAATATACAAAAGACTTTAAAGGTCAACACAGAAAGGTGATCTGATAAATACATCGGTAAAGGATCATGCAATTATTGGCTAACCCATCAATTTATTTTACTTTTTTTTGAGACAAGGTTTCTCTGTGTCTTTGGAGGCTGTTCTGGAACTAGCTCTTGTAGACCAGGCTGGTCTCGAACTCACAGAGATCCGCCTGCCTCTGCCTCCCAATTGCTGGGATTAAAGGCGTGCACCACCAACGCCCTGCCATTATTTTACTTATTAACTTTACTTTGTGTATCACATATTTTAAACAAATGTTTCCAGGCTTTCTTGTTTGCAATTTTTTGTTTCAACATGCAAAAGATTTATATTTTGCTATGTTCATAAATTCTTGGTTTCATGTTTTGTTTTCTGCTTGTAAAAACCTAGTCCATTCTTAGAAAATACTAATAATCTTTCATACTTCCTTCTTGACCTTTCATTGCTTTATTTTGTCTTTTTTTTTTGATTTTTCGAGACAGGGTTTCTCTGTATAGCTTTGGAGCCTATCCCGGCACTCTCTCTGGAGACAAGACTGGGCTCCAACTCACAGAGATCTGCCTGCCTCTGCCTCCCAAGTGCTGGGATTTAGAGGCGTGTGCCAACGCTGGCTGGCTTCATTGTTTTATTTTCATTGAAACTAGCTGGCCTTTCAAGATAGCTCAGAGGGTTAACATACTTGCTGTCAAGCCTGATGATCATAATTATTTCCAGGGCCACATGGTAGAAAGAGATAACAGACTCCTACAGGTTGTCATCTGACTTCTACTCACAGCTGTGGAATGTCCCAACACCCCACCCTGACACACACGTGCACACAGAATGAATAATAAGGTAGCCGGAATGATATCCTGTTTGATTTCTGAGAATGGGAAAATAGTGATTCAAAGGAATAAGGGAAGCACATTTAATCTTCTACTCCTAAACATAAAAAAAGCAAAGAGATCTTTGCCAACTATTGAACAAATCATGTCATGTTAAATTTGTCTTGGTGAATGGTGGTGGCAGCTGGGTGAAGTGGGCTCACAGGGGTCTGTTTAAAAGCAGGAAAGTTTGTGGTAAGCAAACCTCAAACAGTTCTTGGAGAGACTAGCAAACAGTGCCACTGGTTTGCTTTCCAACATTAGAGGTAAGTATGAACATATACATGCTTACACAACAAAGAACTGAATTTTGAAATCTGTTGTGTCATATAAAACCCTGGAAGCCTCCCATAGAGTCCAGAGGTTGCTAAGAATGGAAAGAGGGTGGTGTGGCTGAACTGCTCTCAGCATATGGGTCAGAAGTAGATTTAAGAAGGGAAGAGAAAAACCCTGCCCGCTTATGAAGCTGTTTGCTATATTGTTTTTCCAGAGGGTTAATGTAGGACTGGATAGTCATTATGTTCCAGATGAAATTGCTTTGAAGTGGCAGCCAAGTTACAGCCTATCCCTGTAAAATAATGGGAAACTATAGAAAAATACAAGATATCCGACACTGGGGAAAAATCCTTCTCCATATGTTTCTATCTAATTCCATCTGGCAAAGGATGATGACAAACTGAAATTTAGAATGAACTTTCCAAATTGCTTTTTTTTTTTTTACTCCTAATAGAAACTATGGAATTACCTAGAGAATAACCTGTGGGACTCCAACCCTAGCATGAAACACAATGTTGTCATTTCTTCCCAGTGAGC